GTTTGTTTGGGTCTATCGCATTGTTTTGGAAAACAGACGTTGGAATGCACCCATCGAGATCCATAATTCCTTTTTGAAGTGGGGTTGGAACGTCCCACTATTTCCCCTGTGTAAGATCATTCCTTTTAACATAAATAAATAAATAAATAAATTTATTGAAATACTTTGAATATTGATATATTAAAAAAGGTTTATTGTATTTAGTAGTTATTTATATTTAGATCACCAATATATATCTGTTTATTCGTTTGTTTAAGTCTAGTACTTTACTTTTGGACCACCCCTCTTTTGGACCACCTTTTTACACCAAAAATCATGATTTTCACCTATTAATAACTTTACAGCTAATTGATAGAATTCAATAGAATTTGGATTAGAGATTTATTATACAATTACAACTCAACTCTGAAAATTTCAGATTTTTAATAATAGGTGAATAGATACTTGATGTATTTTATATATTCTATAGAGTATTATATAGAGTATAGTATAGTATAGATCTTATAAATAGAGATTTTCAATCTTGATATGAAGTAAAGCAAAGTAAAGTGGAGAGAAGAGTGAGATTAGAATGGATTGTAATGTTACGAGGTTTGCCGTCTAGATCACGTGGAAGTGCTCTAGGCTCTCGAGGTGGTTTATAACTAGGCGTCAAGCAGGGACTTAAAGTAATGACAATAATGCAATTCGTAACTAATAGTAGAGTATACTAAATGATTGATCTTGAGCACGAAGCTCTATACAAAGGAAATCCATCTTGGTTATATAGACCTTCATGCTAATCGTCCCCTTGGTCCCCTCGATCCCTTCGATCAAGAGACCGAGGGGATCTAAGGGACCATGTGATTACATAATTGGTCACATGATACGAGATCCGAAGCCGTCGTAACATGTAACCGACATCTATGGTAAAAAGTTGATGATAATAAAAAGAGATGAATGAATATACAGATTTGGTACGAACGAGTACCTATACTGAATCGATATGTAGATATATCTTGTGATTTATTATTATATACAGAGCTAATAAGCATAGGTGCACTAGTAGTAACTCTAACTTGTATTTTCCCCATTTTCCTCATTGCATTGCTGATAACGTGGTTTATCAGCATGTGCACCATATCAGCATGTGCACCACTTTTACCTCAATTATTATCTTTCAATTAAAATAAAATTACAACAACATTATAAAATAGAATTAAATTATATACAATCTAAGGATCAATTAATGCTGGATCTAATTGACAAGTTCGTGCATTATGTGAAGTACTACCGCATTTGCTACATCGTTGTATAGTAGCTTGCCTTCTTGTTGAAGAATCATCATTTGTATATTCGTCGCGTCGTATCTGATCATCTATATTCTCTTGCTCTAATATATCATGCCTATTCCCTACTGAAAGTGCTCCTCCTTTTCGTATTAAAGCTTTTTTAACTCTTTGATGTTTACTAAGTGCTTCATTTGCTTTACGGAGATTATGAATCTCAGCAGTTAAAAGCGTATTTGTATAAGCTAGGAGCTCTGTACCCTTAACTAAAGCTGCAACTGTTTCAAATATTGGAGTAGGTGAGCTCCCTTGATGCCGAGCAATACGACTTTTCACTAAAGTAGATTGAGAGAGAGCTTCAGTTGGATTATGAGGTGTTTGAGATTGCCATATATCAGGATCGGCTGATATTGATCTATTTGATGGAGTTCTTATTCGAATATCTAGCTTTGAAAGTACAATTTCCGGATTAAATGGGATTAGCCTAGCTCCGCGGAACCCAGCTTTACCATTTGATATAGATATTGCTTCGATATATGTAGCTTTAAAGGCTTGAAAGAACTCGGTTTTGGTAATATGAGTGATATGCGCCTTGATAAAGTTCTCGATTTGTCAACTATATGAACGCTTTAAAGGACCAAAACAACCGATATCAAGTGGTTGAGTTAAATACGAAGAGTGAGATGGTAAACTAAGTAATATAATATTGTGTTCCTTGCAGTATTCCTGAAATGCTGGTGATTTATGACTTTCATGCCCATCAAGCATTAGCATTCGATATCTACCCACTTTCCTATTTTCAGTATGTTTGTTGAAGTGCTTAATCTATTCAAGACCTGTCTCATTATCTATCCATCCATTGGTAGTAGGTTTAATAAGCCAATCGTATGGTAAATCGCCTTCGGTATACCAATTTGAGAGGTGGTATTCGCCTTTTACTATCAAAAACGGAGGTATATTATGACCTTCTCCATCAACACAAATAATCGCTGTAGCCCATTCCCGATTGCCTAATTGTATAGCTTTGCTTCTTCCACATCGATCAGCTTTAGTAACTACTATATGTAATGATATTTGTCCCATCATAAAACCTGTCTCATTGAAATTGTAGAAATCGCAATCCAGAATACCATATTTGGCTTGCATATTCGATACCAATCGAAACCATCTTTCAATAAGCTCTGAATCTTCGCAGAGAGCTCTTTGAAAATCATAAACGCGATTAAAACGTGTTTTTAATTCTGTATATCGTTTCACAAAGCGATAAGCCCAGAGCTTTCCAACCTTCTTCACACCCCGCGTTTCGAGTATATAATTCGCTATATCTTCCACATCACTTATTCGAGGACTAAATCCTCTCTCGTCCATATCGAGTATATATTGAATAAGTACTTCCTCTTCCAAATCAGTCAAATTATGGCTTTTTGGTCGAAATTCCGTACGAGGGGTTAAACCATTCATTCTGCGGATAAGTGTTGTATGCGATATATTATATAGCTTTGCAGCCTTCCGAATGCTTAATTTTTTATCTTTTCGAATAGCTTCGATAGCTAAGAGTATTTGAGCTTCTTTATTATTCGATTGCATTATAGATTGTTGATAAATCGCGTATTGAAGTGGAAAGATAATAATTAAGGTAAAAGTGGTGCACATGCTGATATGGTGCACATACTGATAAACCACGTTATATTTATCATATTATATAATATTATGTATTTGTAACTTATGGGTGGGTACTCCATACCTAGATATCTACGGAGTATTATCAATCATCCCCGGCTTTTCCTTCACACATGTATTCCGCATTCCATATACCGTATCCCCGTATTTCCAAAGCCGAACTCCTTACAAAATTACAACATTGGAAGAATGCTAAGCTTATGGTATGGTATGGTATATCCGATCTTGATAACTCCCTCCTATGTACACTACCTAGGTACCTATCGAGAATCAAGCTATCAAATAAATAAGTTACTTGATAGGAAAGAAAGCATCAAATCGTCTGACATAAATCTTTAGTCTCTAGTTCCTAGTGCCCGTCTATCTTGTCTTAGTAGGTATTGATTGAAAATATACTTTTCGTATCAATCAGCATGGCATCGTCAGCTTGTGAGTTGTTGGGCTTGGAAAGTGGTAAATAGGGTAATGACGATGGGTGATCATGTGTAGGACATGGTTATGGACGGTATGGAAATTCCATGGCGTCTTTGGGCTTGATGGGATGGGATGGGAAAGAAAACTTCTGCTCCGTGGTTTGGAGGAAAATGTCTAAAAGTTAAAAATTCTAGGGAGTATTGTATTATTGTGAGTTTTGACTGTTCTTTTCTTCTTCTATTTTCTCCGGATTATCCGGTGTTGACACCGCGTTGTTGATGGGTATTATTTCTTGGGTAATGTGCCATGTGACTTGAGGGTCATTGTTGATGGTTGTGGTGTTGAATGCTACCTCCTGTCGGATAAATGTTTTTGTATATCGCCGACTTGCTTCTCATTTCGAAGAAAACAATGTACATAAACTTCCTTATTGTTCTCCCCATAAGTACCTACATAGTAGGTACTTATAGAATAGAGAGATTTGAATGATCCGGATTTCGTACCGATAATACCGAGAAAAGGAACGGTGTAAAGCGTAAAGTGTAAAGTGCAGAATGGAAGAAAGTGTAAGCTCAATTTAATGATTTTGCTTTGGCCAGAAGTCCTGATAAATATGCAAGACACAAAGTAAGTTACATGAGTGATAATCATGGAATGGAGTAAGAGAAAAGGTCAAGGGCTTTTCCCAAGTTTCCGTACAATCGGAAAACTTACTGTCCACTTTCGGTCATGGCGAATTCGACATCTCCTTACCGATGCGGTCCTTGAGTGTCTAGAACTTTTCAAGGGCTTTTCTTGGAATTTCTTGATGGGTTGGGGGAATTGGGTTGGGAAGGGGGTGGAGGAATGAATGAATGAATGAATGACTACCTACCTAGTAATACTAGTAGGCTAGTACGGAGTATGTATGACTGACTGACATTATTGTATGTAGTAGCTGGGCGGGCGAGATGACCTTTTGGCTAGATTGATTTTGGATGGGATGGATGGGATTGGGAATCTTATTTTAAAAACAGATTTCGTATTTTCCATGTGGTTCACGAATCACGACTTGTTATTATTGTCAGGTTATTATTATTACCACACAGGGTTGCAGCGATCATTTCTAAAGATAATTTAGGTGGTCATAGGGAGTCTATGGTGGGTGACCCTTTTGGTGGAAATGGTTTCAAAATGATAATTGAGGTGATATGAACGATGTGAAGGATGTGAATATTTATGAATATTATGCACATCTATGAAACTCGTCGACCCAATAATAAGAAATATTCAATACGGAGAATCCTAGTTGGTCTAATTTCCCACATGCAAACTAAGCCACCATTTCTCTTGAACCCGGTGTCCACATCACGCCTTAATGACCTTCACTCCACTCAAACAACCTTGATCATCTTGATGACTTTGGAAATGACCCATGGAGATTCTTCTTTTTCATATTTAACTTTGGATGAGTTATGCCAAATGGAAGTAATTAGAGTCTAGGTTTCTTCTTTAGTAAAGAAATGAATTATGCAGAATGATCAATTGAAGTGAATCAATCAACTGAATCGCAAAGTCATTCACAAAAATTAATCTTCATCGTGATGTGAAGCTATTCATACAATTCAATTCGTCATTCCATTTATATATACAAAGTCATTCATCTGAACCAATCGAACATTGACAACAAAGCTAACATCGTTCTTCAGCCAAAAAAGTAAACAAAATACGCTTCAAAACGCGCCTACTCCCGCCAATGTCATGTCAACAAGCTGAAAGTGGAAAAGATTGGATGGGAATCTTGGGATCTAAGGGGAATAAGCGTAACTTTAAGTTGAATGTAAAAGGTAGATCAGGTTCAGATTTTGCAGTACGGAGTGCAGATGATTGACGTTGATTGTGCGTGTTGCATAAAAAGAAGCCAATCATTTGAGGATATCTAACTGACTAATCAAACCCTCAAAGCAAGACCCTCTTTAATACTGCCACGTCCATCCATTATGTTCCCTGGCCTATTTGTACCTGCGTAGCCTTTCATGTACCTTTTTTTAAACGCAAGTTATAACCAATCAGAGAGGAGCAAAGTAAAAAATAATGCACAAATTCACCAACCATAAATCATATCTGAGCACAACCCTTAAGGATCTTAAATACCCTAAATACCCTAAAAATTAACCTCCACTAATGTTCATCCACTTTGAACCACTCATCAATCATTTTCATACGCTACACACTACGAAAAGTAGAAACTACCTAGCAGGCTAGTATCTAGTACTCAGGTACCATCTCTTCCCATCTTTTTTCCCCCCAATGATTCCCACTTTTTTTACATATCCCATCCGCATACCCAACTCCTTCCTCGCGCACAATTTCATCTAACCAAACTATCAAAGGAATCTGAGTAAACCTAAACCCTTTCATCAATCAAATCAAAATCAATCAGTCAATCAGTCAATCAGTCAATCAATCAATCAATCAATCAATCAATCATTCATTCATTCATTCAATCAATCAACCATCCATCCATCCATCAACTCCTCTTTCTAAATTCATTCATCAAACAACCTAAACAAATCTTCCTCTCTCGGACTCACACTTAACTCTCCCTCTTACTACTACTCACTACTCACATCTTCATCCCCCTTAAACAACAAATCCCTTTTCGAAAAAAAGAAAAAAAGAAGAGTTTGGAAATCTTTCTCTCATCGTGAAAGGCATAAGAATAATTTAATTCAAACTGTCGTTTTCGATGATTTACATTCTCTTGTGTTGATTTCCTATTCTTCTCTTTTTTTTTTCATTCCTTCTCGTTTCTAAAATACCGCCAAACATTCGTTTACTTTATTGCTTGCGGTCGAATTTTTCCCCCAACCTTCATTCCAGCATCACCCGATCTTCTTCCCTCTGCCTTATCCAACACCGGACGACCAGGAGATTATTGACCTGACCTTTTCCCTCCTTTCGAAACATCAACAGGAAAGTCACCTTCCATCATCAACTAGTATTCCAACTTCTTAATTATCGATACATCAAATCAAATCACGATACATCCCGCAGATTAGCACACATCGATTCACTCGCTATTTCGACAATACGTTTCTGTTGTGATTGTCATCTCCCTCTCGCTGGTCATCTTACCAAGATCCAACTGACTTTCCAACATCAAACCGAAGATTGATCTTAAATAAACTAACCTACGATCATCATACAAATAACATCTCACGGCAAACTTCATCGCCATCGCGATCGATCGATCAATTTAATCAACATATAACGAAAGAAAGGCCACGGCCAAATCAAATCATTCATCATGAAGTCGATGTATACTCTCGCTATCGTCGCTGCTACGGCATTGATTAGCAATTCAATCGCTGCACCATCTCCAGAATTATACACACGACAATATAAGACGTTAACGTATATGGGATGTTTTTCCTCGGGTCTGGGATTGACCAAGAATTCAACATACATATTCAACAGTAAAGGATGGTGTCAACATCAATGTGTGCCTGCTGGCGAGTATGCAGTTCAGGCAACATACAACAGCGATGAATGTTGGTGTGGTGACGATCTTCCTCCAGCAGCTGATTTAGTCGACGATTCAAAGTGTAATAGTCCTTGTGCTGGTACTAGTTTAGAGATGTGTGGTGGTACCAAACTTTATTGGTCGGTTTATCTCACTGGTACAGAAAGTTCAGCACCAAATTATGATCCTGCTGCGGCAGCTTCATCATCTTCATCATCCGTCGCTGCTACACATACCACATCTATTGCACCATCAGTTGTCACCGTAGGAGGTATGATTTTCTTCATGTCCCGAATGTGATATCTCATCTAACAATAATTTTAGGTCAAACAGTGACAGTTCAAGCATCCAGCGCAGCGCGCAGCATCGAGCTCGGTAGCTGCATTTGTCTGAAAAAGTTTCATCAGGTCCAAATTAAGCTGGCATCTGCGCAGGCCGTCGGTTGTCGGTGTCCTAGTTTGCTGGCGGCGGATCGCTGGGAGGAATTCTTCATTGGTATGCGGGAATAAAAAGAGGAGCCGGAGTCGAGGAAGGAATACCCGAAAGAATTGCAGCCGTCCAATAAACTTTTGGTCACTGGTGGTAAAGTACCTGTTAGCAGTGGTGGTTCTTTTACCGACACTCGACTTGATCCTACTCTCGCAAATAGAAGAATGAGTGATGGTAGTATCGCTGATAATCAAGATTACTCAAGGAGAATCCTCAAGGTATGTGAATGTAAAAGCTAACAATTTGATCATATACTAACCTTCTCTCAAGGTCACCAACGCATGATATAGCTACATACACACACACACATTTAATCAATGTGACGAACGACGAGTTTTCAATGTCATTTAGCTCAATTTCAATCCCTTTCGGCGTTTTAGGTCCTTATCTTCTTTTAGTTGTGACTACAAACACATGGTCGTTCTGCTTTGGGTATCAGTCCCTGTTTTATAAGGGTTCATGGTGTTATGTGTATAGGCGTGGCGTAGAATGAGCATATGAAGAACATACTCTTTCGCCGTTAGGAGGATTGATTTTTCCAAAATAGGCATCAATTCTACGATACACTCAAACATTTAATCGATGTTTGAAATCACACCGTCCTCTCTTTTTTAGCACTTTGCTCTTCGAAAAAAACTTTTACCTTTCTTTCGATATTTTATCTCCTTTTCAATGTTTTATTTCCTTGAACCAAGCAATCCTCTTATACCCGCCCTTCACGTACCAGAAACAATAAATACACAAACACAATACAAAATCCTTTATATGGGATCTTGTGAAGATGAACAAAATTTGGGAGGATGGGATGGGAAAGGGAGAGATTTAAGAGGGTAGAAGGGATTGGTGTTGGTTGGAGAGGGATATACAACGGATGGGAGGCGGAATATTTGGGAGATAGATCGAGGGATCGGAAAGTATAGTAGAAGATATAGGGAAATGGAAGGTTTTAAAGGGTTTTACTGCGAAGTAGTGGTTGGTTGGTTGGTGGTTAATGGTTATTAGATCCAAAGAATGGGATCGGGAATTGTACTGAAAGTGGGACTGGGACTGCTTTGGTGAAATAGTCTTAATGATGAGTACCTGACAAGACCTCGAGTAGAGAGGTTAACAGGATGAGGGGAGGAGGTGATGTTATAGAGATAGGGGAGAAAAGATCGATAGGAGAAAAGGGAAGTAGAATTAGTGGAGTGGAGTAAGTTGGAGTAAAGTAAAGTTAAAGTCAATTGATATATCCCTTTTGTTATTGAATTTCGGGGTTTTGTATATGAGTGATGTGAGTGATGTGAATAATGTAAGTGATAAATGATATATGTTAAAAGGAATGACCTTACACAGGGAATAGTGGGAAGCTGATAGGGCAGATCTGAGGCTATATTGGCTTTTATGAGAATCACCCATTATCTTAGTTCTACGGAAGTGCGAAGCTCTCCTACAGAGAGCTTCTCAATCTAGTCCTAATAGGACTAGTGCCCTGTGCACGTGCTACGCGAGAACCATTCACTTTAACAATATAGATAATGTAAGTGATATTATAAAAGAGTAGGTTAAAATATATTTATTTCAATATATTATAAAGAGTGAGCTGAGGATAAAAACAAATTAAATTTAATAATCAAATTGTTACGAGGTTGGCCGTCTAGATCATGTGGAAGTGCTCTAGGCTCTCGAGGTGGTTTATAACTAGGCGTCAAGCAGGGACTTAAGTAATGACAATGATGCAATTCGTAACTAATAGTAGAGTATACTAAATGATTGATCTTGAGCACGAAGCTTTATACAAAGGGAATCCATCTTGATTATATAGACCTTCGTGGCATGCGTCCCAGTGCTCCTAGTTGTCCCAGTGCTACTGGGACTACTGAGCCCACTGGGATCCTCATATCACATGATGTTGAGCACGTGATGTTCGGTATGTGAAGTCCGACGTAACACAAATGTTATTTATAAAAATAATGAATTTTACAAAAGTTTAAGAGTTAAAGTTATATTAATATTAATATAAATACTTGTATATATATATTTAAAATAAATTAATACAATCTTAATGTTACGTTGTAACATCATAAACTAATATCACGTGTTATAGGATCACGTGGATAGTCATGAGAGGGAGCGAGGGAGCGATGGAGCGAAGGAGCGAGATTCGAATCTCGC